CTGGTACAATTGGTGGATCCTCGTTTCACCTCCATAATTCTACCTTTACATGGAACCCTCTGATGGCAACTTTGGTTGTGTTAGCGGTGGATCTCTTTTTAATTTTTCCGAACATAAGTCAAAAAGAAACCAGGAAGAGATGTTGTATTTTATTTAGTTAGAACTACTTTTTTTGCCATGTTCCTAATAAATTTTAATCTTTAGAATAATAATGAAGAATCAAAACAGAGAAAAGTGGATGGTCAGGATTACAAACCCTATTTCTATGTTAAAACTCCTCTTTCACGTGTTGTTACTCCTCCTTATCCACCACGAACACCTGAGCACCAAACATTTTCTTTAAGTTCCTTCGCTTCCCCAACCATTAGTGAAAATGAAGAAACTGACAGTGATGATGACACAGATAAGCGAAACCCTAATAATTACACATTTGATGAATATGTAGATGTGTTGACACGAATTATAATGACGATGATCAGGGGAGAGTTACAAGCTGATAATTTCTCGGATCTACAGATTGAGCAATTTTCTAAAGGTACTCTGGTAGATTTTCATAAACACATTCGCAATACATGTATAGTTAAAACGAAAGTTTCGCAAGATGTAAAGACAACATTCCGAGAATGTATTGAGGTAACGTATTAATGTATTGTTTTTTGAAAAGTCACTATCGTAATTTTTTAATATGGTGGTTTTTGATAGTATCAGACTGCACTTGACGAGGATCTTGGGCTGAAAGAAGCAGAAAGAATTGTAGAACAATCATTTACAAAGACTTTTAATGATCCCATTGACCAGAAAAAGTTTGAGATAATGCGATTTATCTTTCTACAACTGTAAATTCAGATTTATGACATTTTTTGTCTCCTATCCGTCCAGCTAGCTATAATTCTTTTTATCTGTCTTACATACCTTACAGAACAAAAAATATCCCCGTTAAACCATTGAAAGACCTTCTAAGTGAGGGCACTCTAACTGTCAATATCATTAGCCCCATATTACGTTCCTTCTTTCATGATTCCTCAAAACACCTGACCAAATGGCCTAACACTGCCAGTATGAGCTCCAAAGTTCGTAAACTTGCTAATTCAGATCCCTCAAGAGCAAAACAACTGGACATGATTTGCAATGTTGTGAATAACAATAAATCTAAGTACGAAGTGATGTTTGGTGAGATTACGGGAGAGGG